ATGGTCAGCATGGGCCAGGCCCTCCGCATCCACCATGGGTCTGAGGGGCCCAACGCCTGCAAAGCTTCAGCCTTGAAGAGCTCACAGACCTGACGGGACAGACGTACAGCTCGCACCTTGTACGTCCAACGCCTGCAAAGCTCTGGCCTTGAAGAGCTCACAGACCTGATGGGACAGACGTACAGCTCGCACCTTGTACGACGTGGCATACGGGGGGGGTTACAGACCCCAGCGAGCCTTACAAATCTATGGCAACCTGCAAAACAAGCATGTTAACACCCAAAATTGGCACCTCCTTGCACGTCAACACACCCATGAGCACCTCGGGGACCACAGCCGGGCTCCTGGTCCATGACATGGTGGTGACAGGGGTGCAACCGCGCGTTCCCCCGGCAGAGCCGTGCTGCTCCAGCTCTGCCCCGGTCCCGCTGCAGGAAGCCGAGCTGAGGCTGCGGTGCAGAGCCCCAAGAAGCCATCTGGCGACTGCTCTGCGGGGGTCTGCGTGCAGAGAAGAGGGTGACTGCCAGAAGGACCATCTCTGCTTCCACACCCAAAGAGAAGGGAAACATCTGCAGCCCCTGCCTTTGCTCCAGGCTTGCCCACAGAGACACAGGCCAGGTCAGGGCACTGGGGAGGCCTCATCTAGGACTTGTCCCGCTGCTGCTGCTAACAGGACAGCTCTCCTCTTAGCAAAGGGTCCCCCAGCCCCGCCACGGACTCGGCTGTCCCTCGACAGCTGCAGCTGCTGTTCTGGGGGCAGGAGTGCCAGGCAGAGGCCTGAATGGAACATCCACTCACTGGTGGCCCTCCTGTCCCCAGTGGGATTGCCAGCACCAGCTTCCATCTAGCAATTCACACCCCAGGATGCTCAGACGTGCTCACTGACGAGTGTGAGGCGATTCCTGGCTCCTGCCCTCCAGGGCATTGTGGTCCCTCACCACGTTCTGCTAGCACCTGGATGCCCACGTCATGACACATCCCATCCCGCCACCAGCCGACTTGCTTCCTTCCCTGCAGCAGCTGCATTTTGAGAGGCCTCAGCCAGGCTTGCAGCTCCCTCCAAAACATGCAGCCATCACACGGGAAATGCCTTTGCAGGCTGTTGCACTTTTGCAGAGGCTGCCGAGTTCCCATTTTCTCTGTGTATCGCCTCGCTGCCCGTCTTTGTCACCAAGTAAAAACTGGTGTTGCCGTGCTGCACCAGAGGTCCACCCCAACCACCGTGATGGTTGGCAAACTCCATCTGCTTTGAAGAAGGAAGAAGGAGGTCACAGACCTTGAATTCACTGCCTGTTGAGTAAAATATCAGAAGAGGCTGGAGAAGAAGCAGGGAGCATTTCATAGCCATTTGCTGCTGATCACTTGCTGGCTTGGAATTTGTGAACGCTCTTGAAATTCACTGCAAGGACAGTGAGGCCTCACGTTAGCAGAGGACTTGGGATGGAGCACCTCCTTTCCTGTAGCAGGTAACGTAAGCTAGGTGAGAAAGAGAGCAGCAAGCCCAAGATTCGCCCATAAAAAAGTGTTTATTCCTTAAAAATACAACGTTCACCTGCAGTGACACAACTATTCAGAACATTTCTTTAGAAGGGTTTTCATAAGCTTCCAGTGTAGCAAGCCCCTAGTGCCAGGAGCAAGGAGAGCGGGCAGCCCAGCCCCAACAGAAAGGGTCCTATCACCCATTTCCCACTGCCTGCACCCCAGCGAGCTGTGCCCAGGGCCCTCACCAGCTGCTCCTGCAGGCACCCATGCCCAGAGTTCTCTCTGGAGATAGAGAGGGTTTGGCACCTGCAGCGGCATCTCGCTTGCATCGTCACTGTCCAGGGAGCCCATCTGCAGAACGGCTTTCTCCTGGTGGCAAAGAGCACACAAGCTTTCAGGGAAACCTCAGTCCCCCTGGAAGGGCCTCGGGAAAGAAAGCCTGGAGAGGGGAAGAAGCAGGACCCAGGACCCATCTGGCCCTTACTTGCTTTTACAGCCCAGAGCCATCGCTCCCGAGGCCCCAGCTCCACTCCCCCCCGCCGCCCCACAGAACAACCTGCCTGGACCACCACGAACCTGCAGACGACAGTCTCAGCCACGCCTCAGGGGACCTCCCCCCC